TTTGCGGGGAAGCTATCTTACCACGCCTGGACATTTCGTAACACTATTTTTGATAGCATAAATTATCGTCTGCTACTTGACAGTTTTCATGCAAAATGGCGCTTTTAAAGAAACAGTGGTTGGAAGGTTTGAAATGGTTTATTTAAGACAATATGCTGGAACAAAAAGTATACTAATTCGGTGGAATCTTGGTTCACGGACACCTTGGATCGCGAAGAAATCGAATCACATGAAATCCTTTTGGGGATCGTTAAAAATGTGAACCCTTTCAGATTTATTATTGATATTCTAATAATTATTACTAATAATTATCTGTTTAAGGACATATTACGTATTATAAAGTTCTAATTCCTTTAAATAGCGGAAAATAATTCCTGTTATCTCTACAGGGTGCTACTTATATCTTATGTAAAAGAACTTGAAGGGGCGTTAAAACAAATGACGCTTAAAGCAACAAACACAAGAAATAGGATATGAAAGAAAACATACATTGTTCGACTATAAGATCATTGACAAGAGCTTTTCTACAGCAGTGTTTACAATTAATTACTTAAAACTGCCTTCTTCAACTGCAGCCAGCGGCAATAAAATGATTGGCTTTCTCTTTAAGGACATTACACGCGCAGCCTAAGAAATGAGAAGACAACTGGTTTATCGAACATCGGCGCGGAAACCTATTTAAGTGCATAATTTAAAGTTTATTCTGATAGTAGTCAAACGGTTTTTATTTTATTATTTGCAATGATTTACGAAGAAAAGTAATTTTCTTTGTAAATCATCGCAAATAATAATTTTTTTTTGTAAATCTGGAGGCATATAAGTATTTGGATTTGATCTTCATGTAAATTACTGAAATTCGTAGAACTTGAAATATACTTCAAGAGCAAATATTTCCATCGTCAGCCTATCTTCATAGGTAAGGAAGGTAATATTTTCATGCCATCCAGTATCTTCTTATATATGTATACCAAAATTTTAAAAATGTGGAATGCTTTTAACCCTCTGTGGGTTACGTACGTAAAATTCCATATCGTAGAACGGCTTTCCCATCTGTTACACATGAAAGTTTCTGCCAGATCCTGATAAATCGATTTTGGGTTGGGTGTATGATGAAACAAAAGCAGAGCAACGAGAAAGTATCATTTTAGAATCATAGACAAGAACATTCGCTTATTCATGACATTTTAGGAACTTTGAAATTTCAGGGCTAAATCCGTAACGCTCGGAGGGAAATATAGAGAATAAATAATACACAGTGGAACCTCGAGATACGAGGTTGATTCGTTCCAGCATTAAGCTGCGATTTCTCGTGTCTAGAAACAAACTTCCCAATTGAAAATAATGGAAATTCAGTTAATCCGTTCCACCCTCCAAAAAATATCAACATAAATATAAATTTTTCTAATAAATAATCCTGTCAAATTATATAACCATAAATTACTTTTATGACAGTTTCCGACACCGAATCGCCTTTTAACTGCTTCTCGTTAATCCACACCAACAAAAGCTTCTCAATATCTTTTAGGAGTTTGGGATGGTGCTTGGAAGTAAAGGTAACTCATTTGGCCACATCGAGTTTTTTAATTTCTCCCTACTTCTTTATAATAGTGAAGATCGTCGATGTCGAAAGACCGTAAGTCTTCGCCAATTCCATTACTCTTACACCGCGCTTATGTTCTATGATTTCTTTCTTAATTTCAACGGCCATGGCTTCCTTCTTTTTCTTTGGAGCACTATCTGAGGCAACAAACTTCTTGGGAGGCATCGTGAAATTATTTTAATATTAAATGTAAAAAACAATTAACTCACAACCGCTCAAACACGTAGATCAGAGAACACCAAGTGATCTGACGAGGGTATTCCCCGAGTCGAGCCGGGTCGGAAAATAGTGACACGAATCCCAATAGCCTGGCTTATTGCTCGTTACTTGAGTCAATGCTTGTGTTTAGAGACGAATGTTCTGCTCATAGTTTCGTCATATCTCGTATAGATGTTCTTGTATCACGAGGTTTCCCTGTAGCTGTTGCATATTGCTTGCTATATGAAATAACAGACCGATAAAGTGTTGAAAAAAGATACATATTTACAGAAGAAATGTATAGAGGCATTAACAATTTTTAATCCAGCGTATAGATACTAGTTATTGAATCCTTTCAGAAAACATTTAAACTAATATATACAAAACAGAAACACTCACCATTCTGTGCAAAAACTGTTCCAACATCCAGTTTGAACGTCCCGATCACTTTACCTGACCTAATGATGTTCCGAGAGTGTAAAACCTATTAATTAAAAAGAATAAGGAGTTGGTTCGCAGTAAATTTATCACCATAAAAATATATGGTCTCTTTCGGTCAAAACAACAAGAAAATGCATATTAAAATAAATACTTTTTATAAATAAATGAACGGTTGTTTCTCATAAAAGAAGCAATCCCTCAAAAGTGTAATTAAGTATTCATCCGTTGATATTTTCGACCAATTGAAATTCTCGCTAAATTGAGAGATAATAATAGAATTACCGTGATGTCACAACACACTCATAAGATCTAGCCTTGGTCTTATATAACCAAGACTAGCTTCTATAGACTATATTCATAATTTCTTCCTGTTGGTTACATTACTAAAAAATTAGGCTTAGCTGAACTTAAACAATTTTTAAATTGCTGATTAATCTACAACTATTCCATGCAGATTAATCAAAGGCATAAAAACCTTAACCGAAATATAAGAAGAACATAATCAATAATTTTTAAAGCAAAAAATAGGCCATTTACCGAAATATAAGAATAAAAAACTGAGCTTGCCGAGTAACAGAGTGAGTATATATGTGGTATATATGTATGTGAGATACGTACGTACGTACAGACGCTATGAAAAAAAAATCTGTTCTGAATCCATTTCAAATCAGTTTTATAATTCGTTTGGGGAAAAAGAGTAATTTATTCTGTCCTTACAAATAGATGTAACGCAAAAACTTCCTTAAATTGAAATTGATAGCGGTCAGAATGGTTGCTTTCGTTGAAATATGAAACCCGGAATTTTTCATGATTACAATATTTCCTTTACTTCGTACAAGGGAGTAAAAATAGTTGCCCGTTCTTTCCAGATTACCGCCAGCATGACTGGTGCAAATTTGAGCACATATTTATTTAAGTTTCTGATGGTCAGCATCCGTAAGGTATATCTGTTGATTATCTAACTAAATAAAGAACTACATATCTTTCCAGACTACTGTTAGCACGGTTAGTGTAAATTTGTAATCATATTTATTTAAGTTCCTTATGTGCAGTATCCGTAATGTATATCTGTTGATTATCTAATTCAATAAAGATCTAGTTGCACTTCCCAGCCTACATCCAACATGAATGCCGCAAATTTCAGCTCATATTTATTTACATTTCTTAATGCGTCCCAACTGTAACATATATATATGTTGATTATACAACTAAATAAAGAGCTTCGAGAAAGTGCTGTATTTTTTTGCGAGAAAATTATCATAACCCAGTGATGCTTGTCCCTTTGGGTTCAGGTTTCCTTTGGGCCTAAGTGGAATCGAGGTTGGACATTTCTTATTACCTCATAACCCTATTGAAAACAAGGGTTTCTCCATCCGCCTTGCGCTTGATCAAGAGGTGTTCAAAACCGAGCGTAATGAAAATGTTCTCAAGGCTTTGACATACGAAACTATAAATTCTTGCTACATGGGAGAATAGTGGTTGAGAGTGTATATTGTTGTTTCCAGAATGGGTAATCTCACTAATGCTAATGCGCGTGTTCATTGTGAGTTATTTTCTTTATATGCAACAATTTGGCTCATATGCACGTGCTTCTGACTGTGAAACTGTAGCCATCCACCGAACCCTGCTACAACTACAGATTTGTTTTGAGCATTTTTCAAAGGTATTCGTATCAGACACCAGAGCTGCCCTTCAAGCTACTGACTTGCAAAGTGATTCTCGTTACTAAGTGTCGATTGCTGTTTCGATCATCATAACTGGCTCTCAAGTAATGACAAAGAGGTTATACTTCAATAGATTCCTGCCCATTGTGGAGTTCATGGTAATGAGACCCCGATTTCTTGGCCACGAAGAGAGTTTCTGTCCCTGAAGCATCACATGTTGGTCTCCAATGCAACTCCAATAAGTCAATTGCTAGCAAAGCCTTCAGAGACTCCATTTTCCAAAAGCTTGCAGAGAGAAAGGAAAAAATAACATTGTTTTAGACAGATTCTTGTGTACCTTAATGGCCTAGAAAAAAATATGTCGCATTGTTCTCTCTTATATCTGGTCATCACTGCCTTCGTAAGAACCTTCAAAGCATAACTGCCGCTCCTGACTCGCTTTGCCTTACGCAATCTTATGAAGACATGGGCTAGCCACATCTCTGCAAATGCCCTGCCATTCCTCATATTCCAGAGAACGCTACTGTGTGGCAAGGAATTCCTGAGATTATAGATGTACTGAAGTCAATTTTCTTGCCTTTGATTTGTATTTTATTTGATGTTTAGTTGTCTTGTAACGTGATAGAAATAAAAAAAAATATATAATTTAATTTTTTTAAAAGACTCTTAACTTAAGATCTATTTAAAACGCTTTATTTATTCGTCCATTTTCTTAATCTAAATTTACACTAAAATGTTTCCTAATTTCCAAACTTATATTAATTTAATAAAAATTTTATATTGGTATACTATTAGAATGTAAATTTCTGTAAATATTTGTGGTTATTTGATTATATTTTGATTTTTCTATATTACTGCAATGTTATATACTGTTTTTAGTTATTTACGTGTTTATATGTGGCATTCTGACGTATTAATTTCAGAGTGCATTTTTGTGGTTGAAAATCCAACGGGTATTGACGGTTACAAAACGATAAATTATTTTCTTAGTAGTTTGGTACTTTTTTTATTTTCAGATTTCTTATAGTTGTCCGACGAAAGTGTAAAACAATTTTCTTCCTTGACCTTTAACGTTGCCTAATTTATGTAATAAAATATAAATCATGTATGTAATAAGATATGTTAAGTATAATGCAAATATATTTTACTTTAAAATACTTGTAAAACTTCAGATATTTCAAGTACACAAATAACAAAGAAGCATTTTGACATTGCCGTTGCAAAACAAATGCAAGAAATAGAGAAGTATTTTGAAAAAGACTGAAGAAAAACTTCGAGCTAGTTTTAAAAGATCATAAAACTTGAAACTTCTGCACTTACACCCTGAAGAATAAAACTTAACAAACTGATAGTTAAAAATCTATGCAAAACTATCGTAATTTAGTCTGTTTTTCTCATAAAGAAAAAAAATATTGCTCAACATACCTTCTTAATTTTAATGACAAGCACTTCTGAATATTTTACTTCAAAAAGTTTTAAAAAAATTTTACAACATACCACCGTAGTTTAATGACAAACGCTTCAGGCTGCTTTTCTTTTGAAGAACTAATGCAGCAATGTAATAGCTCAGAACATTAAATTTCTATCTTGAAGTTTATCACAAAAATGATAGCACGCAGAAATTTCAATTTAAAATAATATTTATATAATATATTACTGTGGGAATAAATATCGATAAATATTTTCAGATTTAAAATGGAAGATTTTTCTTAAAGGAAACCGAAGATACTTTTATTTTTGATAAAATACTGTTATTGTAGCTTTATATTTGTTTTAGATAAAATACTGTTAACATATATTTATATTTAAGTTGAAGATTTAAGCTAGTATAAAAAGTAAAAATAATTCCAATTCGCATTTTTAGCCTCACTGGGAGATATTTTAACTAACAAAATGTTTTGATCTACACTTCGCAAAAAAATAGGACACTTCTATACCGCCGGTTGTACTGGACCGACTGACGAAATTCAGCTTGCGTTATCTCGAAAGCTCGACTTAGGGTATGTATTAGATTTATATATAGCATTGTTCTAATATATGTATTTTGACACAAAATAAGACTTTTCTGAATTCACATGCCAATTGTTTTCCATTTTCGATTCTACACTCAATTATGCTATACTGCCAATATTTAAAATCCCAAGACATGTTTAAAAAATTCCTCTCAAAGTGTAGCTCTTCAGTGTAATTTGATTTGTACAATTTCTAATTCTCTTTTGTAAACATATGTGATCTTCCTCACATTTCGAAATTAGGTTCGTTCTAAATACAATAACCTACTTTTATGATTTATTTTTAAAATTTATATTTTAAATAATTTTTATACATTTTTTCGAAAACAATTTTGAATTTACCATACAGTTTAAAAAGCATCTTAATGCATTGTGCCTAGAATACCTCTGTATTTCTAGGCATTTTCTTTTGCAGGTGTGCCTAGAAATACGGTGTATTTTCTAGAACACCTCAACAAGTAGAGTTTTTTATTCAAAATTTCCGAAGATATACGTGAATTTACATATTGGCGCGTTTTGAAATTTGACATATGTGTTATAAGCGATAATAACGCCAAATGTATTTTACGCACTTTATTAAAATTACTCGAAAGTATAAACGATGACTTTCTTTCCGCTCGTATGCAATAAAAGAAATAGAAAGGAAAATAGGTTGCTATAAATTAAGAAATTCGCCAAGTGAATCTTGGCGCTAACTGGAAAAAAATGCGCCAAGATATTTCTGAAGTTCTCCATAAATGTTGCACCAAATTTTACAAAATTTAATATTTAGGCAAAATTTGAGTCATAGAATTGAAATATGGAAAAACATTGGCATGTCATTTAAAAAAAGTCCGATTTTGTTTCAAAATACCTATATTAGAAAAATGCTCTATATAAATCTTATATATATTCTAAGTCGCACTTTCGACACATGGAAAACTCAATTTGAAATTCGTCAGTCGGCCCAGTAGAACGGGAGATACAGAGCTGTCTCATTTTTTTTCCCCCGCAGTATACCTTCAGATGTAAGGGTAAGGGGATTACTGCTAGCACAGGGAAATCAAAGTGATTTTAATTACTAGAATATTGGCATGCATCTTTAAATTTAAATGGAAGAGTTAAAAGTCTTTAAAGTTACAGTCTTTAAATTAAAATGGAATGTAATACTTGACAATTCTTCACGCCCTACTATTTTAAGTTTTATCATAAATTTTACAATTTTATTGCAAACGGACGGTATGCTAAGCACAATCTTATTAAGATAAGAGCTTGTAGGGGCATATTATCTGTGCATTGCACATGTATTAGGGACAGGTCAAATAACAATTATTTAGCGTTACTCTTAATGCACATATACATCAGTTATTAGTGGGGCTAATGCGAGAGGACTCAGCTTAATACTTATAAAATTTTTAAGACTCTTTCATTTTAATCCTCTGGCCGACCCCTGTGACCTCTCATCGGCACAAATTTCCCAAAACTACTATTAGAAGGAATTGTTTTCTTGATGTTAATGTCAAAATGCTCCTGGTACTTTATACATGGATTTATGTACTTAATACCTGGATTTATGCACTTTTAATACTTTGCTTAAATTTCTTGGATACATTTTAAGATGCACGTATATAAACATTCTCAGATACAGCACAAAAAATATTTTACAGATCAGAGGTTAAGTGATTATAAGAATTATAATGATGCCATTCCTTTCCGGCCAACGATTAGTTACAAAACTGCACACATTTTACAGAAATCCAACATGCATGTCTTTTTTCCTTTCAATAAGATTTACAGTTCCATACTTGAAAACACCATTCCGGATATGAACTTATGGGGTATAGAAGGACTCCTTTGTCATTGTGGTTTGATTCATATTACTAAAGTTAAGAGAGCATTAAATTTTCGTGCTAAGGAATATGAGGCATATTTTAGGAAAAACAAAACACGTAAATCATCTGTTGCCCAGCTCTGTTGGTCAGAAAACGACGCTTTTCATTTTTCTGCAGCCAAAGTTATTCAAAAACATCTTTCAGTGCAGAACTAGATTTTCTTGAGTCGTTTCACTTTCATAAAATTCTTAAGTTCTAGTCAACGATCCGTATTTCAGTCTGTCTTTACCTCCAGCTTCTAAAGAAACAATTTCATAGTTTTCATTTTTCATCAATAGACGGAATCAGTAGCTTTACTTCCTTCTTCTCATTGTTATCACAATATCATATTATACATTTTACTGTAACTAATATTATAAATCTGGAAGTTAAACTTTTCAATAAAATATCAAATAAAATTTCTATTCTGTGGCGTATTTGGCTCCCGAAGAATTTCCTAACAGTGATAAAATTATATTTACTTTCTTAAAATTTTAACGATGATGACGAATTAAGCAAAATCTGAAGGCGCTATTAAAACGAATTCTTTTACGCTTAACACAATTATTAATTTTTAGGTAGAGAATACTCACCGTTAAGCTAATTATTTTGTCAAAAAACATCATAGGTGCCATGTGGAAGTCAAATACAAAGTACTGAAAAAGAAGAAAAGTATATTACATCAATATGTTTATTATCATGTAAAAGAAGCATCAGGTGGTTTTTGAAAAAAAAAAATGTGGTAAAGGAATAATATCAGTCAAATAATAAAATATTATGCGAAAATATATAAGATGGCAGATTCTTTACAATTCAGTTAGAATTTCAAAGTATTGCTATAAGCATACGGGCTTGTAATGGATTGAATGCACATAGAAGCAATGATAGGTTCATGAAATTTATTTTTCCATAAATACAATACAGTTCTGGAACTTTTCATCCAAAAGTACTCGTACAGATCTTCTCAGTTTTGACACAGTACAACGGGTAGTCACCACTTCAAACTATAAAAACGCCTCAAAATGCATAAATTCGCAGAGTAATCTCTAAATACTCTTAGTACTCTGAACTAAATTCTGAATTGAGCTAATGCTCTTCACAGTCTAATATAGTCCCCCCCCCCTGCTGACGAGAAATTACCAGTACTTTCGATTTCTCGAAATTGCTGGAAGGCATATGCAGTTGCATTTACATAGGGCCAAATACCATTAAAGTTATATAGGTATTGAACCAGTTACAGCGACATAGCGATAGGACCAAAATATCGCCAAGGCCATTGCCAGTTCAGAGTTATTTCGCCGAACTAGCGATATAGCCATTTAACTGAATCCTAAATGGACTTAGCCATGTTTATATATTTTCCCTAAACTTCTGAATGTACATAATTTAATAATTTCGTGTGGCCTAATTTTTAAAATCTTTAATTCAAGTACTGAATAAAAAGCACTTCTTTTTCAGTAGTTTTTGCTTGGTTAAAATGACTTATTACCAACCATCTTTATCGGATTGTATATTTCTCTACTTTATTTGAGGTTCAAAATGGGTCCGAATTAGTAAGATTAATACCGTCGGTAAGATGGACATTTTTCATTCCTTTTCGCTTCTGATTTCTTGGAATCAGCTTAACCTCAGCCCATTTTATAAATGAATAATTACAGTATTTACGGTAAAAGAAATTATGTTGCATATTTTGTTTTAAAACTTGAAAAGTCTTAAGTCGTACTGAAATATCATGTGACTCCAAACTAAGAATTCATGCTGTAAATAGACAAGCATACTCAGTATAATACGGTCATATTCAATTATATCGAAAACAAAGTCTAACATTAAAAATCAGAGTAAATTTTTAAAAATTCTTTGCAGTATAAGTTTCGATAGTTTTTGAACTACCTTCTTTAGCAGCAAAGTGCAAATGAACCAAATAGAAAGATAAGATAAGAGAAGTTGGACAGAAGTTAAGCTACTCGCGCCATCTATTGATGAAATAAAAAAAACTAAAACAAAGTTTCTTTAAAGATTGAAGGTAGAGTTAACTAGAACAGAATTTTTTTTTTTTTTTTTTAAATAATCGTCTCCCACAGGTGTTGTAACTCTAGATCTGCCTTGAAAATGTCTTCTAGACACAGAATCCTCGGATTCAAACTGATTCTATAATCGGTGGGCCACACTACGAGAGACATTGAAACGTCTAGCTGCATCAGCTTATGACATCCCCATTTCCATCCATCCGATCGCCCGCCACCTCAGCGAATTGGGCATACGACTTTTCCTGGACATTGATAGACTATCCTGGATACTCTTCACGAAACTGTAATAACAATTGAAATTCGCCACTCGTGAACAAATATTACAATTTTTGCATTTTTTCTCCTATATAAGTATTCATTTCTATAAAATAAAGTGGTAGCTACTACTTTTGCATATTTTTTCTTAAACTTCGTTACTGGCATGCATAGCAACTGTAAATTTAAACGTTACTGACAATTTTGTAATGCTGAGCTTTGGAATAGATGCTGTTTCTGAACTTTTGGAGGGCAGTGTACTTTGTCTAGCACTATTCCTTACTTCCAGGACTATGAGCTGCGATACCATATGTCCTACACCACTCCAGCGAGCTTTTGAATTATAGCATTAGCTCCCGTCTTTTTTATATTCATTTGTACTTTGTAATGCATCTCATTTTTGCTCTCATGTCTCCCCCTCATCATCTTTATCTCCGGTGTCCGCCGATAACATCGCGGCAAAATTATCGCGGGCGAAAACGTCGCAGAGAAAACAACGCAAGGCGAAAACGTCGTGCTACAAAACATCGTGGAAGAAAACATCGCAGTTCTAAAACATCGTGGTACAAAATATCGTCGTCGAAAATATCGCGGCAAAAATAATGTATCAACAAATCATCGCAGGACGATAACATCGCAGACCTGCTTTTTTCAGGCTTTAATAATTGTAAATGGATATTCCCATAATGATTTGTGAGCGCGAGATGGAAAGAAAGATAATTTTTACTTTCATATTTTTTATTAACTAATCAATTCTTGCTAAAAAAGTAAGAAGGAAACTTAATACTTAAGAATAAACTGAAGCAGAAGAAGAAATAATTTTCATTAAGAATATTAGATTGACAAAAGTGAATAAAATAATCTCATAATTAGCAATTTTTTATAGATAAGTTCATGCAGTTACGTAGCTTCCTTTTTCTAAACATTTTTAGATTATACTTTTAATGAAAAATTACCAGTACAAACTTTATAAAAATGATTTATTAATGACCTTTGTTAGTTAACTATGTCAGTTTAAAATTATATTAAGTGCTATAAGTTGCCTTAATTTTCTATGCTTAAATTTCCTTCTTACTTTTTCAGCAAAAATTTATTAGTTAATAAAAAATATGAAAGTAAAGAATATCCTTCTTTCCATCTTGCGCTCACAAATCATTATGGAAATATCCATTTACAATTATTAAAGCCTGAAAAAAGCATGTCTGCGACGTTATCGTCATGCGATGATTTGTAGATACTTTATTTTTTACCACGATATTTTCGACGACGATGTTTTTAAACTGCGAAATTTTTTAACCGCTTTATTTTGGACGACGGTATTTTGTATCACGATGTTTTAGAACTGCGATGTTTTCTCTTTGCGATGTTTTCCCCCACGATGTTTTGTATTACGACGTTTTCGCCTTGCGTTGTTTTTCTACGCGACGTTTTTGTCCGCGATGTTTTTGCCGCGATGTTTTCGTCTGTAGCCTTATCTCCACCTCAGGACTTTTATCCATAGGGCTTCTGCATTTGAAATAAAATAAATGTATATAAGCATGCCTCGATCCAACGTAGGAATTTCGTTTAACAGACCAAAATTGTGAAGTATTAAGAAGCTGTAGTCTCTGAAACTAATTTTGTAAAAGGATTATTAAGTAAATTTTATATAATTAAGTAAAACAATGAATACTGTTACGAATTTGTACTTAGATACGTAATTTTAGTAGAATTATAAGTAAAATTGTCGTATTTTTCTGTGTAATGTAGTGCGAGACAAATTTTAAGAGAAAGCTATGTCGGAAAACTAAAAATACAAGGACAAGTGCATTTAACATTGAGTAAATAGATATCTTGGTAATTTGGTGAGAAATCGCTAAAAGTCGCCAAATTTGGCGACCATTTAGAGACACTTTGGTACGATCCCTGTATCACCGTAATATGTATTGTAACTGAATAAATGCAATTGACCACTATGTCAGCTGTAACCGTATTTCCACCCTCGTAGTACTTTCCAGTAATTTCGAGAAGCACAAAGTACTAGAAATTTATCGACGGCCGATGAAACTTATTTGTAACCAAAAAGAACCATCTGCTCTCAGTTGCTTAATTAGTGTTGTTGCGGAGTTGTAGTTCGTAAACTGAGATAAATCCGAGTTAGCTTTCTCTTTAGATGCATTCTGCATTGCGTTGTGTTTAATATTATTAATAGTTTGAAGTGTAACTACTGATTATGTGATACTATGAACACTTGTACGAATATTTCTGTGGAAAATTCCACAGTTCTTAAATATTTCTTTTGATAAAAATAAATTTTATTAACCTATTATCAGACTTATGCATTCAATCTATACCGTACGCACGCAACAATACATGCATGTCCATTCTATAAATGCACATCGTAAGTCACAATTTACAAACCATCGAAGTTCAGAGCGTAAATATGCAATACCTAAGTTCTGATTATTACAGCCGTTTCCATAAGCATTTTAAATCTGTCATGAGATGCAGTTAAGTAATAAGATATCTACGAACTACCAGTTCATGAAGATGAAAAAGCACGTAGTTAGTTACCTATATATTCAAGTGTTTTTGTTTATTTAGTAAAACAAACAAACACAGGCAGTACCGACCTCATTATAATATGGGCAGTTGGTGGATTCCTTAACGCTGGTGTATTTCTTCTGTTCTCCTACCTGCACACAAACTACAGGATCCATATTGAGGCCAGCCAAGTGACGAGCTTCTATAACAGTTACGCACACCTGCAAAGAAAGATCAGAAGTAAGCTTTAAAATCTCATTGACTTCTACGCAAAATAGCAAGATATCATTTCGGTAAATGGAGCAATACCACACCTGGAAATCTTGAGCTTTGAGGGCTGCCGGCGATTCTTTATCTGATCTCTGCCTAATAAAGAAAAAAAGGAGAAGTATCTCTCTCTCTCTCTCTCTCTCTATATATATATATATATATATACATGTAAGAAGAGTAAAGAATGAGGAAATAAATGGGAAAAAACTTAAATGTTTTCAGATTTTATCACTTGCCCATAAGGGTTCGTTGATGTTTCTAACATTCTTTCTGAGCTCGCAATTCACTAGTCTGCTCTTGTACTCACTCCTGTAACCCTATGTTTTTTTATGTGTGTCTTTTTAGCTTTATTATTAAGCATTGTTTCCTTCAAATCAAATTTTTATTTTTAAATCGTTAAATATGATTTATTTCATAGTGTAAATTAATTAGTTCCACTCATTTTCTGAACAGATACTCACTTTCGTTTTTATGGTTCCACGTTTGGTATGGAAATAACGTAAAATTGGACCGCAAACCACTAAAATCTTAAACAGTTTTCTTCAAATGCTTGCCATAATAATTGTAACAATTTTCCGGAAAATATATTCACGGGTCGCATAGAAATCGTTTCGGAGCTGCCAGTCTGGGACCACTGATCTATGGTACTGTGCCGTCCAGCTGGTACAGTGTTTAGTGATGCTGGCTGCCATACCGATGGTCTCAGGTTCGAATTCCGGACATCATGGGTGTTTGTAAGCCTCTGGTGTCTGTACGGCAAAGGGGATACTAAAAATACACAACGAGCCGAATATCCTCTCGAGAGGATGGTGGTAGGGAAATAGGATTGGTAAACCGTAAAACCACTCCAGGGGTATTCTGCCTCGTTAGTGGGGTGGAAGTTTATGAATTAAGAAGGGCGGGCGATACCTAATAACTATGGGAATGTACAAGTGCTGTTACGTGTTTCAGTCCGTATCTGTACTGATCAGTGATATTGTGTCTCTAAGCAAATCCATGGCCTTGGAAGGTAGAAATGAATACATTAAAGTAATTATTAGAAGATCTTAAAATGAACTCAACAGATAAGAACTGGAAGAATTTCAAAAGTAGCAACCAAAGACCACCGTAGAAGAAGTTTCTTCTGAGGAACAGAAAGGAAGTGATGATGAGCCTGATTCTTTGATATGAAAATCGCGCAGAATGAGATACTGTGCAGAATTTCATGTACCAGTATCAACCTGATATACTAATGGCAAGCTACAGAGACAATGAGAGATTTTCAGAGACAGTGCCGTGTGTCACTTTATTAATTAATGTTGTACAACTCTGATATACGCCCTAATTTCACCAAAATGTGGCGATATGTGTTCTGCGCTGGTTTTTAGAGCGATTGCGTGTTGTATGGCAACCCTGTTGACGTTGAAAAATCGTTCGGTGGAGTTTGTTGGTTCGCTTCATGCTCTGTGTCTGAGAAGCTGGGGGGGGGGGAAGATAAAATGGTGGAAGTTCTTGAATTGAAGTTCGGCAAAGGAAATATCGTCGTGGCTATCCTGTTGAGGGGGAGTGGGTATTTGGAGGTGTGGAAAGAGGGTCTGGGAGATTATTTTTAGTGGCTGTGCATGATAGAAGTAGGGATTTGTGATTATTTGTTATTTTATTTATTTGTGAACCTTAGTATGAATTTTCTGGATAGTGTGTCTGGCTGTCATATAAATACGATAGTGATTACGTAGCGGCATGTTAAAGGCGGTATGAAATTGGTATTTCTGCTGTTCGAAAAAGCATTAATTCATGGTAAGTGCACTTTATTTTATTCTTGTACTTATTTTGTAGAATGTTATGTTCATTGTTTTTTTAGTATGCATTTCTGTCGTTATTGCTGCTTTTTTGAATTGTTTGAAATTTATTTTAGTTATTTTGTTGATTAGTGCGTACCGTCTAAATTGTGCAATTCGCAGATGTTTTTTTAAGTTCAAACAGGCGCTGTGTACATGGTATTCTTTGAAATTTATTGTTGTTATGTTAATTTATTAAAGTGAGGTGTGCGTATTTCGTAGATTCGTTCGTTGCCTAGATTGTGTCATTCGTAGATGGTTTTTTAAGTTAAAACATATCGCTGTGTACATGGACTCTTGTCAAATAATTTTGGCTAGAAACTTTCCTTTTTTGCAACATAAATTTTTTGTTTTCGTTTCGGATTTTTAGCTTAAATTGTGTGTTCAAAACGCGGTTTTTGCATTCACGAAAACCGTGTTTTTGGAGACATTTTAAGCTTAAAGTTCGAAATGTAGACAAAAAATTTAGATAGCAATATGGCAGCGTGGAGTTTCTCGCCAAAAATGTTTGGCGAGAAATTTGGCGACTTGAGGGCGCATGTCAGAGTAGTTACATTAATGTTCTATCATCCGCTAGCCATACGACGGCCTCATTTGAGTGCTAGCTAGTTAACAGTTAAAGAAAATAGATACGTTTACAGAACTCAGAAAATTAGAATGCTTGACTGAAGATGCCCTGTTCGATTGTTATTTACTTAGATAATAGAAACATTTGATAGAACGACTGATTGATTGATTCTGTAGAGCAGAGATAGAACATGGAAAAAATTACAGACTTCTCAGGAGAAAGACAAACAACAAACTCTTGCTGTTCGTCTTAATAGCTTCAAGTTTTCCATCAAAGTGAGTTATCAAAAGCATTTGGTAGCGACGTTGTAGTATAGCCATCCGCGGAAAATAAAAGTCTGAGGGTCAAATAGACAACACGTGCCAACAACCGTTAAACATTTCGCATCCGTAAACATTAAAAAAAAAAAAAAAAAAAAAAAAAAATCAATTACGGTTCGCCATGCCCATAACTTACACCACGGGATCACGCATGGGAGAATGCAATAATTCCTTCAATAATGGCATCATTTAAATAAGTGAAAATTACAATGATAGATTTAATTATTTAAGTGAACTGCATTTTTATAGATGGGTTTTTTAACAAACTTTTTCTTTCTTTCTTTCTTTTTTTTTTTTCTGTAGAATAAATGCTGCAGCACTTTTATTCATTTTACTTACAGTTATAAATATAATCATAACAGTTATATGAATTCCCTTCAAAACACGTGTTTATCTTTAACTTTGCAGAAAACGTGAGAATTACATTAATTCATTTTACAGTGAATGGAAGAGGAAGCGAAATGCAAACTACATTTCGGAGTTTCAAACAGTATTTTGCATTCTGAAATCTAAATTTTTATTAAATAAGAGGCATAGGTAAACTTTACTACATTTAGTATTATTTTATTATGTGGTCAAACTCTCTATTCTTGAATCCACGTAATGAGAACAAATTGACTTAAAAGAGTTGATGAATGAAATTTCGAATTGGGGTAAATTTCGAATTTAAAGTGCTAATATTTACAGAACGAACATACAAAAATATGTATTTTACTAACTTGCAGCCCGTAATAAGTGGCATGAAACATACCTAAACTTCCGGATTATTTTAAGAAATGCTGTTATGCAAATATTTTATCTTTTACTCCGTAAAAGGAAGTAAAACGTTTTGAATCTAGTTTCAAAGACAAAAATAAGAATTTGGGTTAAAAAAACTTTTTTTTTTTTTTCAAAACACGCAGTACTAGTCTAACGTCCTAAACAAATAATAAAAAAAAAAAAAAAGAAACTGCCATATAATTCTGTTTTCAAGCTGCGAAACAAACTGAAAGCCATATTCTTAGTTGCATAATGATTTTGTAAATGATCAATAAGTAAATGTAATAAAAAGTAAATCTGATATAAACTTCAATTCGGAAAACCTTAAGCCTGAAAAATCGGTTAAATCTGCATATTGTTTTTGAACTGAATAGGTACTTCACTTATATTTTCCTAAATAGTATATCTAAGGCTATATCTTCAAATTTTTGCATAAAGCCCAAAAAAAAAAAAAAAAATGCCAGAAAAACCAACAAATTTATACACACATCCTACATAATGTAACACTCTAAGAATAGCGTTGTAGAGACATCAGGTTTTTTTTTGGGGGGGGGGAAGCCGGAGTGATGAAAAATGAGCAACGCCTTCGCCGGGAATCGTCCCACGGACCTCAGGAATACGCGCCCAGCGTGCAGACCATTACATTACGAAGGCACGCTAAGAAGGCGGGCGTGTTTAACCTTACAGTATTTTAACCTGTTTATTTCGTCATGTATTAGGAATTATTGCGAGGTCCACTCTTTTGGTGTACCTGGTAGCACGTCCAGCTAATAAATAGCAAATCTGTTGTTAGAATCTCAGAGGGAAAATTATCGACTTTCTAACTAATTAATAAATTACTCGCTATAAAAGAAAAACTAATGTCCCCTCACATGTATTTCAAACAACAGTTCCACGACAAGAAGTCGCATTAGCTTGCAAGAATAGAATCAAGAATAAAAAGTCATATTTTTCATTAAGTTAATAAATGGTATAAAACATGTTTTTTCCTTTTCAAATTAACATCTTTCTAACTAACGCTCAATGGCCATGTCTTGTTTCGGAAAAAAAGATGTTCTGTCCGGAATAACGTTCAGATTAGTTCTTTATTAGCTCATAGTGTCTTTGTCGCGATAATTGAATTCATGTTTCCGCTCTTGGCTTGAGGCTGACATAATTGCATTTACTTTGTCAATCGCGGTTGCATTCTACACGCCATGATTGCGTAAAGACCTGACGTTTGCTGTAATAAATGTGTTAATTCATTACAGCAGCGGACAAATTTGATTTGGAAAACAAGACTTTGCTCTCATCTTTACCTGTAAGGCCATTTCGGTAGTCTTTTAGTGTACTTTATAGTTAATTTTCATTCAGTACACTTAATCCTCAAAGCTTTTACGAAAGTTGGTGGCTTTGGAAAATTTTCATGAAGTGAATGAATTTTGACAAGCATGAATTTTAAAGTAATTAAGTTTCAGAAGCGACAGATGAAACGAAATGAATGACTAAACTGATTGATAAGACAATGCGCTAACCTGACATGATGTCATAAATAGGAAGGCTTTGCAATTGAACTCGAAACATTGATTACAGTAAATTTCCGATTAACCGAGCTGGGTATCAACCGGACTCTGGCTGTAAATTAAGCTTGGTTATTAAATAGTGATAGAAAAATTACGATAGCGAATCATCAGCGTTAAACAAAATTGTCTACATAAAGTACAAATGATAAAAAATTATATGGAATGGCAACAGTTACAGCTAATGCTATCATAGTGTTTTTAACCCCAATAGGAGAATAAGGTAATTGCACACAATTGCAAAATATATAAAAATATAAAAGTTCTCTCCTACATAATTTACGTAAGTTTCAACTTAGCTGCACAATTGGGAAAATGGTTAGCGACGCTGACTGCCGTATTGAAGGACCTAGTTTCGAATCTCAGAGAACGCATGGATGCTTCTAAATGTATAATGTCTGTGAGGTACTCTAAATATGCGACGGGCCGAAAAGGTTATTGGTAAGGAAAAAGGGGCTGGAAGACCATCGGACCTGTGCCCCCCGAGATGCTATCTCACAAAACTGGGGGGGGGGCGGAACTGAGCTAAAGTTGGTTTGTCACTTGTATGGTGCTGAAAACTTTTACAAACAACAAGCGCATTTGTCTCCTTCCTACGATGAATATCGTGAGTTTATACTGACCTTTATCAGACAAATGAGAATGGTAGCAACACGTTTGAACTTAACTACATTGTTCAAGTTTTCTGATAAATATTCTTCCTTATTGGCATTTATAACTACATTTTTTTCATTTTTATGGTATTTGTTCTTTCACTATTTACAGTGCGTTCTTTTTGTATTGACTACTGATTAAATTTACTTGAATTCATTTTGCAGATTAAATTGCTTCAAACTATAGTTGTGCTCTTAATAGCACTTTTTTAGTAATTATAATATGGCTTTACTTTTCCTTCGTGAGTTTTTTTAGCTTGAATTAACCAGAGTTTGATCACGTACGTCGTCTACGGTGTTACACTAGTAAATCACAAGTTGACTTGAGTAATAAATATACCTCAATTCATATTGAAGATTCTATGTATCATTAGTGACATCTATTCTTTAAAACTGTTACAGAAACGGATATTTTTGCTTTACTTAAAATATGAGCGTAAAGATATCCGTTCGGGTTGAAGGCAAATTTTGCCACTGACATTTGGTAAATTTTCACAACTTAACAACATTTCGGAAGGCTCCACAAAACGCATTATTGTAGAAACAAATTTTCTTCAAGTTATTCAGAAATGTTAAGCAACTCTACGAACAAAAGCTAGTTAGATTCACCGAGTTATGTGATTTATCCGAATCAGAATCGTGCGACAGTAATTGAGCTTTGCTGTGGACATATTGCTGATTTTCGATATTCTTTGCGTCTTAAAAAGAGTTTGCTTTATCTGAGTTTTTCCTTCAAGAGATACTTTTAGTTATTTTACGTTATATGAGCTGTTATTTATTTTATTAACTGCATATTTCTTCAAGTTATACCTCAGTAGTTGTTAAGAAAATCTAAACGATGCCGTAGCTCGCAACAATATGTTTCGCATAATGTGTTCTCCTTCATGATTAAATACCATGTTCAAATCTCTTTCTTAAGTAATATTGTTCCGAAACGTCCAGCTGCGGTAAGGTAGCTTCCCTGCAAAGCAGGGTTAGGGTTGCCAGAAATTGGCAGGGAAATGCAGGGTTATCAGATTTGGCGCGAGATCGCCCATTTGGCGACACTGAAGACAAAGTTGGCGATATACTACAGACGGAGAAAGAACGTTTTCGAAAAAACCAACGTTCTAGAATGTTGCCTTCCTTCTTTCCCATATCGCCAATTTTATCTCCAAAATGAGCGATTTCGCACCAAATCTGGCAACACTGCTTTTCCCTGCCACTTTCTGGAAACCCTAACTTCGCTTTGCGGAGAAGCTATCTTGCCGCAGCTGGGCATTTTGCAACAATATATATATATATATATATATATATATTGTTGTTTATTGTAATAAAGGATGAATAGTATCCATTCCCGCACGTCTATATTTCCGGGAACATTTATTCAGATACTCGATAGAGAAAAGGGAAAAGTATTTTACCTCGCAGACGATGCCCATTTCTTGAGCACGACCGGTGTGTTGATGGAATAAGGAGCCGCAATGTCTGAGCTACATTCGTCATATGGTCTGAGCATTCGATCTTCTTCGTCCGATGAACCAGTCATGAACACATTTTCACCACCCCTCATATTAAGAGTTTGAGTCGAACCTGTTGATATAATGATTAAATAAGATAATAAGGAATGGCAACAAAGAAGCAAATTTCGAAAATTTCGAAATCAATGTTAGGGTATACTGTATAGCAGAGGCATGTGCATGAATTTTTTCATCTGATGCAAAAAAGTAAACATTTTCGGAGCAATGTTTAATAAACAATTAAGTCAAAAATGAATGACTTCAAATACTAAAAAACTGAATCTTTTATATGTCTCCTTTCTTGAAAAGTTTTGTTTGATCAAGAAGTTAGTAAATTGCCTTCAAAATATTAATTAATTTAGCATAAAATTAGCTTGAAAAATTTTAAAATTAAGCAATTGAAATCCCTCGAAAACTCATTTTATTTCAAACAGTCTTTTAGAGAATCATAAATCAACTCGGTTATAAATATTATTTTATATTATTACCCATTCACCCTGATCAGTGCACAGGATAGCGCTGCTGGCTGCGATATCTTTGGACGCAGGCTCGAATCCCGTTGAAAAACTTCGATATTTGCATGTGCATAGTATCTGTGCGGCATGGAGGTATTTAAAATACTTGATAATTAATTGAAAAAGCACTCTCTGTGATACTTCATTAACGGCAATGAGACGGCTAAATGATCAATATGAAATGGCCATTTCCGATAGATGCATTAAATTCAAAAACTTTGGTCGTTTGAAATAACAACAATATCACATTCTCATTAAGGAATAATGAAATTAAAAAAACAATTAAATAATTTTACACACGTTATATTGAGCACCGTTACCTTCGGTTTTAATTATTCAATTCTTACATCTGCAGCATAGTCTATTTGCGGATTTTTAGACAATAAAAATTAATTTTTTAATCAAATTATTCTTCGGTAATTTTTCATCTTTAAAGTATATTAAAAATACTATTAAGTAACGACTCAGGAATTAAAACGGTGATTATTTTTTTAAGAAGATGCTCTCTCAAGTGGGATATTACCAAATCTCGCAAATCTAAGAAGTTGATATTTTTGGTAAGAGTAGCAACTTTTCTTCTGCAAACAATGTAGGCTTAGTGTCATTTTTTTTCTGTTCCTGCGTGGTATTTCTATTTAAAAGGCATTCACACTTAATTTAGGAACTAGGAGAACTCTGTATATAGACTATTGTTTACTTCTTTAAAATGTTCTGAAAGGAAATCGTTCTATTTGGCGAAAAATTAAACTTAAAATATTGTTAGTGAACATACTCGTATTTCTGAGGTCTATTAGAATCTCCAGGCTAACAGAATTCCTCTTCGTATCAATTTAATGTACTTAAAAATCCACTGGAGACAAAAAAGCAAGTTTTCATTCATTTAACACATGTAGATTGAGAGCATCGAAAGCCCGTTTAAGAGAAGTAGTTTAGTTACTTGGTAAACTGTTTTCTCTTTGAAAGATTAGCTATTCACCTGGATGCAACAAAATTGTCAAATATTTTGGTGCATTGTTTCTGAAGACGAATCCCTTCTTCGTAGCACTTGTAGCCAGGAAGATCCTGAAGCATCGAGGTGTACAGAATTTAGGTGCTCTCGCCATGTCTGCTGTTTATGTTTCAAGATTAATGTATGCATCTAGCAATTCTGGAACCACAAATTTTTTTAAAGTTTTCAGTAACAACGAAGTTGATTTTTCATGTTTTCCCCTCACAGAAAAGGCATAATAGTTTATGCAATGGCACCAGAACTGAAATGTGGAGATGATGACTCATTACAACCTGAATGTGACGAATGGGTCTCTTTACTCTTTCCAAAAGTTCTTTGAGTGGTGGGGACTAAATTTGAATTATTGTGTTCCTGTTGCGCGTGCCTTTGTGGTAAGGTGTTTCTGACATCTAGCTCGAGGCCCACAAGCAGCCGAGCGCTAAAATCGCTGAACACTGGTAGTTCCGACCTGGATAGTCCCTGTGTGCCTTACCATAATTTACTAAGCCAAACTAAACGAAATCTTACTCGTTTATCAGAATGTTAACCTTTTGAATGGGGGAAGAAACTGAAGAATTATACCACTCCCTCCACGTGTTGCTTTGCCACATAGCACAAAAATATCCTTGGGATATCCTGAGGATGTTGCTCACGGGATATGCGCACATCCTCAGGTCATCCCGGACTGTCCTCCGAACCTTGAAAGTGCCTAACCTCCCGAGTGCTTAATGTCACATTATCGTCAGGACATTATAATTCCCATCGACAGCGTACGGGATGTTATTAGGATCTGTCCTACTTACTACATCCTCAGGACATCCCGGGATATCCCACTAACCTCCTAAACACATCCCATTTTATCCTCAGAACATCCTATCTAGGTCCCATACACAGCGTATGGGATATTATTAGGACTTAAAAGTCCTACTTACTACATCCTCAGGACATCCCAGTTTCCTCCTAAACTCATTATCCAGAGCGCTTAATGTCACATCTCAGTATATCATTAGGACATCCTATCTAGGTGCTACCGACTGCATATGGGATGTTATCAGGATTTGAAATACTAGTTGCAATATACGTCATATCCCATGGCTGAGAGAAGTTGAGTGGCTCGATTATGGATGATAGCATAATCGTTTTCTCCCATTTCCCACTCGCAAAATTACATAGGTCAATTTAATGTAATTGACAAAGGGCGCCAGAGCTATCTGCCTAACAAAAGTGATACTTTAGTGGAAAATTTCTTAAGGGATATTTTCTTAAGGGATATTTGTTCGTATCTACGTTACATATGGGGAAAACTACGAAACGCCCACGCAACCAGCCCGTTCGTCTGGAATCGAACACAGGTTAAACTATCAGTGTACAACAACTTTAGCGCTCGGCCGCTAATAAACCCAAAATTAAAAATGCTGCAGAAAAATAATTCTCTTTGAGTTTCATAATGTTTCTTGATCCATTGACATCATGTACCTTTTGTCGCATGAAAAGAGCAACATGGAATAAGATGACGTCACCAAAGCGCCCGAGATTTGAATGCGAATTTAAGGAATTCAGGTTAACTAGTTTAGGAAGTTTTACGAACTTATCGTATAAAGAAGGACACCAACTTAGGTGACGACTGTTTGAAAAAGTCTTGAAAATTTTAATTTTCAAATGAAAAAATATATAATGGTAATTCAAAAATCCCATATATTTAATCTTCAGCTCTCTTTCTAATCTTTAATCTTCAGTTAATTTTAACTATCACATGCTCTTTAAATATTTTTTTTTATTTTTTTCTCAATAGTTAAGAGAGTTAATCCAAGAGACATCAGTATACGATTCCGATACTTCATACAAGGAAGTGAAAAGTACAAGAATGATAACAAAATAAAAATCAAAAATTGTTTTAGCGGCTACTAAATACAGAGTGACTGAGCACCAGAGTTCCTTTGAATTTTTTAAAAGCAAGGCTTTATAAAAGCATAATTTCTCGCTTTCTTAAGTTCGGAGTTTTCAATAAGTTTTGATCCTGAAAGTTTTTTTGTTTTTATATCTTGTTTTCCAAAACTTTTTAATTTTAATATTTTAGACTTTTATATCAATGGGAACAGCATACTGGATTTTAGTTAAAATTGATAAACCGGAAGTGATACTTTACTTGAGGCTTTGAACAGACGTTCTTAAAAATTGTGTTATGAGATAATAAAAAACATTTTAGATTTGGTACTTTAAATAGGTGTGTGCTTGAGACCAACATATTACATCTATAAACATTCAAAGTATGGAATGATGGTAAATGCAACTGCATTACCCTCGTTAACGAAAATAAGCTCATTATGAAGACGAGCTCCTGTTTATGTATTAACTTCAGTCCTCGTTTGTGCTTATTTGACATTTTTTGTCGTATGACTTTTCGTATGCCACAAAATGTTATCGCCATGTATTATTTTTAAAGAAGTAGTGCAACAAATGTCAATAATGAATATGAAAAGAAATATATGATGACATTTAACACTCCATCGGGAATCCTAAAGGTTTTAAAAGATTTTGCAATTGTTAGGTCAATGTTCTTATGGTTGGTGTTGTGGTAATCTCGCTTGTCTGGTATCAGAAAAAGGCCCACAAAATTAATCGTGGCATAGAGACAAGATTGCGCTTGCCATTGGCTAAAATCTGGGGCACCATACAGGTGAAAATACGACTTTGCTGAGTTACGCACCAACTTTGAAGAACAGCACCCCGGAGGCGGCACGGGGATGTCTCACCCATCTTCCCTTACCACCGACCTCTCGAGTGGACATTAAACTCGCCGCATATTTTGAATGCGTCCATACCGCACAGATACTATAAATTTACAAACACCCATGCCTTCTCTGGGATTCGAACTACGGCCCTTCGATACGGTAATTAGAGCAACTGATCTCTATCGTGGTTGGGTAGCTGTCATGACGTGATGACCACGCATGCGCAGTTTAGTCGAACGGCCTGCAACACCTCTCTCTCATGAGACTTACTAGAGAAGAGTGGTTAGTTAGTAGATAGTAGCGAAGTAACGAAGGAAGTTTCGGATCGACCCCAAGGTCCTCGACTCCTTATCATCCAAGTTCAAATGGCCTGGTAGAAAGATTTAATGCTGTTTTAAAGGGAATGATACATCATACCATAAGAGAACATTCCAAAGATTGGGAGAAACATCTACCGTACTTACTCTTGGCTTATCGAGAAGTTCCTAATGCTACGACTGGTGTTAGTGCGTTCCAAACGCTTTATGGAAGACGTCCTAATGGCCCTTTGTCTATTTTGAAAACGTCATTTACTAATGAAACTCCTGTTCCTCATGGACAGTTAAGTTCAGTTACCGATTATCTGAATGATTTGAAGACGAAATTGGAAAAAGCTGCTGAATATGCAGGACTTACAGATGTTGGAAAGCAACAAGCTTATGCATTCTACCGTAACCGAAAGACTCGTCATAAAGAATTCAAGGAAGGTGACAGGGTTATAGTTTTAATCCCTGATAGCCAAAACAAAGTTTATGCCAGATGGACGGGACCTGCTACGATCATCAAAAAGCATACTGAT